AGGTGGTGAGGAGCACTCCATATCCAAGCCATGCTTCCTACTCCTCCCAGCCCTTCTTGCTTGTTCATGTTCCCACATCCTCAGGATAAAGTTCAACCTCAGGCTGGGCATGGTGGCTCACACCTATAATCTGGGAGGCCACGTTGGGTGGATTGCTTGAGCTGAGGAGTCTGAGATCAACCTGAGCAAGAGCAAGACCACATCTCCACTAAAATAGAAAAACTAGCCGGCATGGTGCTGGGTGCCCAGAGTCCCAGCTACTTAGGAAGCTGAGGCAGGAGAATCTCCTGAGCCCAAGAATTTGAGATTGCTGTGAGCTATGATGATGCCACAACACTCTACTCTGTGTGACAGAGTGAAACCTGTCTTAAAAAAAAAAAAAAAGGTGGCAGGCACCTGTAGTCCCAGCTACTCAGGAGGCTGAGGCAAGAGAATTGCCTAAGCCCAGGAGTTGGAGGTTGCTGTAAGCTGTGTGACGCTGCCATGGCACTCTACCAAGGGTAATAAAGTGAGACTCTGTCACTTAAAAAAAAGAAGCCAACCTCAAACTCCATCGAGCACAGCCTCCATCTGCCCTCCAGCTCCGTATTTATCTGACCAGTCTTATTTATCTGTCCCCTCCTTGGGACTTACATGTGTCAACACTATCCTGGGAATTCAACAAAAATTAACTCACTCCTAAATACTCTGAGTACATACTGGGATCATCCCCACTTTACATATGAGGAAACTGAGGCACAGAGTGATGACGGAGCTAGTACTTGGCAGTGCCAGGATTTGAACCCAGGTCATGTAGCTCCAGAGTCTGTGCTCTGTGTGATCTGTTTCTTTCTTTACCCCTTCCTGTGTCACTCCCGTTCTCCCAAACATACCTAGTTTCTCACCTATATCTCACCTATCTCACTGATAAGCAAATCTGGCCTGTTATCCCTGCTTCTGCCCATTCCCACTTTTATCCCTTGTGCTTAATGTTCCTCCTGCCTAGAAGATTCTTCCTTCCTTATTTTGACAAGTTCTGCTCATCCTTAGAGACTTGTGTCACTTGCCTGTGATATGGTCCTTGAAAAAACTTGGCCTTCTCCGGCTGATTTAGGAAGCCTTCTCAGTTCACAAAGCACTTGGCGCACACCTCGATGAGCACAGATAGCTCTGGGGCTGGGAGCTCCCTGGTGACAAGGGTGAGTTCTTCCCTGACTGTCTGTTTAGGACTTCAGCTAAGTCCTTCCCTTCAGGACACCAGCTCAGGAAACACTAGTGAATGAGGGAGAGAGATGCACAATGCTGGGGCAGGGAGAAATCAGACCATAACTCTGTCCTTCTAAAAGCTCATAATGTGGTAGGAAAATTGACCCATCACTAGCACTCCAAGATCCAAGTGCATCAGAGCTCCAGGAGAGGTGCAAAGGGCCTTCAGTGTCACAGGCTTCCAAATGTGATGCTTCCCACTGGGAAAGTTGGGTAGGGAAGACCTGCATTGGGCCTTGAAGGGTGGAGAAAATCCCTACTGGCCAAGTGGGGCACATGTAGGCCAGAAAGACAAGGAAAAGATTCCAGGCTGGCTGGGACAGAGGCAGAGAGGTAGGAAAGCCCAAAGCATTTTGAGGCTCCAAGTGAGAGAGGATACCCGAGAAGGTTGAGGTCTGGGAGAACAGGTCTTCTCAGGGAGACCACGAGGATGCACCTGCAGGGTCCTCTCCATGGTGACTCAGCTCTTGGGAATTTGTAGACTTAACTTCCTGGAACTTGAAAATTTCAAAGTTCTGTGAAATCCTGTAGTTCTGTAGGGGCTGGACTAGCATCTCCTGCTTGATTCAAACTGGCCGATGGGAAGGGTACCTGTGGGGTGGAACTTTTTGATTGTCAATAAAAGGAGAAAGACCAAGCCAGTTGGTGAGTGCCGCCATTTGGAAATCTATGCTGTAAGCTCCTAGCCGATGAATAAAGCCCTTCCTCTTATAAACATGGTGTTTGGGTGCTCTTTCTCTCTGATGGGCCTCATCTTCCTGCAACACACGGAGCTCAATCAGGCCCAACCACTTCACCATAGACAGAGGGCAGCCAGAGGGCAGGGCTGTACCTGCCACACCTGGCACTCGGCCCCCACACGTGGAGCACTGTAAGGATTTACGGAAGCAGATCTTGTGGCTTGTAAAGCCTTATACAATTTGGTGGCTCTTTTTAAGAAAAAAAAGCAAAATTATTATTTTTTTTTTTTAGAGACAGACTCTCACTTTGTCACCCTCAGTAGAGTGCTGTGGCGTCACAGCTCACAGCAACCTCCAGTTTGGGGGCTTAGGTGATTCTCTTACCTCAGCCTCCTGAGTAGCTGGCACTAGGGGTGCCCACCACGCCTGGCTATTTTTTTGTTGCAGCTTGGCCGGAGTCGGGTTTGAACCCACCACCCTCAGGATATGGGACCAGTGCCCTGCTCACTGAGCCACAGGCTCCGCCCCAATGCAAAATTATTAATATTAGTTTAAATGTCACACCAAAGTGAACATTTATCTGCAAAGAGAATGGGAGGAGCTGCATTTAATAGCTTTGCTGCCCAGGCTTCACTGTTAATCTGCCTCTGGTAAGAAGAGCAGAAGGAGGGCAAAAGGGGACAGAGGATATGAGGCCTCTAGGCAGGCTCAGAGCCAGCCTCTGCGCCTGAGATTACCTCTTAGACAAGGCAACACTAAGACCACCTCTTGTCAAGCTTCATGGGTCTCCCCCACCACAGAAAGGCTAAATTCTTCTAGGTCAGAAGACTCCTTCACCTCTGGACAGGCGACCAGGGGGCAAATGTGGGCGTCTGAGACCTGATTGCTGGTCACCTCCAGGGCATGCATCCGCCTCCCCTCACACCCGCCCCCAGGAGTCATGAAGGGTCTCTTTTGAAAAGCTCCTTTTCATTCTGACATTCTGCTCATCTGACCCCAGCTGAGAAGGCTCTTACAGCAGGGGCAGCCAGAGAACTCTCTGAGAGCCTCATTCATTCATCTCCTAAGGCTGAGGTCTCACAAGGGCAGGCCATGTACCAGGCTGGGCGGTGGTGGGTGGGGTGCACTACCATGGAGGTGGTGGGAAACCAGACATGGAAATGGAGCCCAGACCAAAGGCAGGCAGCCTGAGGGGGGGGGGGGCGGGTTCAGGAAGGCTCCTCAGAGTTGGTGACGTGTGATTTGAGAGATGGAGCATTCATTCAACAATTATTTACTAAACACATACTATGTGCAGCCTCTGTGGACACAGCAGTGAAGAGACCTGACAGGAATTTGGCCCCCAGGTTATTCCCTTCAGCCCAGCAGGGAAGCAGGAATTAAATTTGAGAGGAGGGGAACAGCAGGAACCACATGGAGGAGGCAGGACCATATGAGAACAGAACTCATCTTGCTTGTTGATGGGGCTGACAGCAGCTTGGGGAGAAGGAAGTAAGTGATGGGGAGACGAGGCTGGTGGGGTTGGCAGAGAGCAATAATGGAGGGGCTGGAATGCTGGTGACTCGGAACCAGAGAAGGTTCTGAGCAAAGGGAAAGGTCACAAAGTTTCTTAGCACCATTATGAAGTTCAACAAGTAAGGCAAAATTGCCTCTGACCCGCCCACGGGCTCCAGCAACCAATCAGAGCTTCCTGGGGCCAACCTCCTTACCTCTCGACCCTGGGCCTCGCTAAGAGAGGGCACCCCCACACCCCTGCCTGGACTTCACCCTCCACGTCACCCTCTCTTTCCTGTTCTTCTAACAAGTCCCTCAACCCTAAAACTGAGGCAGTTTCCTCCAACAGGAACGCTTTCCCCTCCATCCCCTAAAGCCTGGTGTCTGTTCAGTCCTTCACTTGTTTCCCTGCCAAGTAGTAGCACCTATGATCCCCTTTTACAGATGAGGAACCAGAGTCTCAGAGAGGGAGAGTTACCTGTTCAAGACACACAGCTTTGCCCTCCAATGCAAGTGATGGGATGGGATGGGTGGGATGACTCCTATGCCAGCTGTGTGGTCTTGGCAACATCACTTAGGTTCTCTGTGCTTGGGTCCTCATCAGTGAAATGGGGCGCCTACTGCAAAAGGTGGCACGAGGCTTACAGGGAAGCTGTACTGCTCCCCCAACATTCCTTCGCTCCCCTAGCCCAGTCAGTGGCTTTCACATCACCCCCGCGGCACATTTAACGTTCATTCATACAGCGAGTCCCTCCAACGCTTGCTCTGAGACGTATTAGACTTGGCTTCTGCACCCAGAGGCGGGGGTGAGGTGGAACGGGAGCAGAAGACACATCACGATTTGAATTGTGCGCTGTCCTCACCCGATTCTGCTCTTGACTTCACATTTTTAAAACTAACGATGGGGGCTGGGTAGGGGGAAGTGTGGAAGAGAGACCCGATCTTTTTTTCAAAAACTTATTTTTCACCGCTTCCTGAAATCTGAACATTTCACAGCACCCAACTCTCACCTCCGCGCGCTGAGCCCCGAAAGGTAGCACGAGGGCGGCGTCCCACTGCCCTCAAGTGCTTCAGCATCCCTGGCACTTCCTGCCCGCGGTCTCCCCTCGCCTCCACCCTAATCGATCCCTGCTCCTTAAGCATGGCTCTCCCCACCCCCAACAGCAGTCCAGAAGCCCGGGTCCCAGACAAGCCAGCCTTCCGCGCCTCCTTCCCCATGGGGTCCCGAGGTTACACCCCTCCCCGGCTCAGCTCTTTAAACCCCAACCGGTCCATTGTCCTCTCTGCAGCCGCACCTCTCAATCGCCCGCCCCGCCCTCTCCAAGGTAGAGTGCACTTTCCGCAGAGCGCCGCTCTTTCCCGACTCTCTGATTGGCTCCTGCAGACCGACGGCGCGGGGCCCGGAAAGGGGAGTCGGCTTGCGCCCCGCCCTTGCCCGCAGCCGATAAGGGGCGGAGGCTTGGATGAGCCCGCCCCTTTAGGGCGGGGCCGCGCTGGCCGGGGCTCGGTCGCTGGGCGGCGCTGCCTGAGCTGAGCTCAGTTCTGGCTTTGCCTGCAGCTCTAGTGGGGGTGGGCGGCGGGGATGACAGCGGCGGTGGCAGCGGCTGCAGAGCGGGGCTGAGCGAGCGGCTAGCGAGCAGGGGGAAGAGGAGGAAGTGGAGCCGCGGCGTGGAGCTCGGGAGTCAGCCGCCGCGCCGAGGTCCGCCCCGTTTTGCCGTGGGAGCCGAGTCCGGACCCGAGAAGACTTCCCCGCAGGGCTCTGGCCGCCGCGACTCCCTGCTGGCTTCTGCCCTGCCCTACCCCTTCCCAGCTCCGGGTTCCGCTCCTGGACACTCCCAGCCCTGCGGTCTGGGGTGTGCGGCCGGAACGCCCCAAGCCCCAGCCCTGATCTGGTGCACCGGGACAGGACGCTCCTGGCCCCACCATATGGGTCCGTCCTTGCGGGTTCGTTACCAGCCTTTCTATCAGTGAGTGTCGGAGCTCGCCGCCCTCCGCCCTGAGGTTAGCGCAAGGTGGCCCCAGGCCCTCTACTTGGGCTCAAAGGAGCCCAGACACCCCCAGTCTCTGGCTGCACCAGACCTGAACCTTCAGTTGCCTCTGACCCAGTGCTTCGGACTTGGAACCGTGTGAGCGCCCGGGAAGCCCCGGCCCGGGTCCAGCGCTCTGTAAGGGATCCCAGGCGGGCAAGACAGTCGGACTGAACCACTGGGCTAGTGCTGCGAACGCAAGCTACCACCTTCCTCTTGCCCCAGGCGAGGGGCTCAAGTCTTGCCCCGAAGAGAACACAAGGGCCCGCCTCTGCCCCGGCAGAGCGGACAGAGCGAAAGCCGAGGCTGCAGGTGAGAGAGCCCTGGATGCGGGGCAGGAGCTGTCCCTGACCCCATCGTGGCAGCGTGGCGGCCGGCTGAGGGCGCGTATGGGGCACAGGCAGAGGTTGGAACTCGCTAGGAGAGGGCGCGGGAAAGGGAGGGGGAAGGGAGAGGACAGGCACTTATTGAGGGCCCATTGTGTGCGGGTCCGAGCTCCGCCCTTGCACAAATGGTCCCTCATGTAAGGCTCACTACTGCTCCCTTAGATAGGTGTTGTGTACTGTTATGGGCGCTTACAGGTGGGGATACTGAGGTTCAACGGGGCTGCATGACCCTCTCTTTTCACTGTTCTGATGAGACTGGGGAGGAAACAGGGGGTGAAGAGCGGAGGAAGCAGAGTGAGGGAAGAAGCTGGCAAGTAGGAAGGAGGATCTAGGTGGGGCCCCTAGAGCATCTGAGCACTGGTCCTGAGTCTGAGGAGTTGGCTTCTCCTTATCTCTCACTCCCTGGCCGTGTCACCTCCCAAGAAAGGTGATCCAGAGTTGAGGGCAGAGGTGGGAAGCTTCCTAGTCCCAAAGCTTCTCTCTCTTTGGGCCCACATGGGAGAGGGGCTGTTCCTGGGCCCTGTGACATACTCGGTAGTCTCTAAAACACTCTGGAGGTCCTGAGATGCTGCTTATCTGATGCATGGTCTCCAAATTAGAGATGTGGCCACTCAGCACTCACCTAGCTCATCTCCTTCACATTACTAATGGAGCCACTGAGGCTCACCTAAGGGGGGTGCCAGTCTGCCCCAGATCCTAAAGCCAGTGAGTGTCTGAGCCAGAAGCAGACTTGAGAAAACCTTCCCAAACGTCTTTCAAGGTATCCACTCTTCCTCCTCAGTTAGCATCTTCTGAGTAGGTGGCTCGTGTTTTCTCCACTCCTGATATGAATTGGGGGGAGGTGTCTGTGTGGTTGGTGCTGGGGCCTGAGAAATGCCATTAGCCCCAAAGCCTTTGGCCCAGATGGAAAGTCCAACCTCAGTCTCTCCTGAGCAGGGAAACCTGTAAAACACCCCTGGCCCAGGAGGGGAGAGGCTTGCTTAAGTTTTTATGGCTGGGGGCTCCCTAAGCTGGGGGCACAGTCCTAGGTGTCCTGATTCCTAGGTAGAGGGTCCTTCTGCTGTCCCCAGGGCGCCATTTAGGTCAAAGGATATTGTGAAAGAGCCCTTGGCATGGACTCTATAGGCTCTTGTTCTGGGGGGTGGGGAGGGGATATGGCCTTGGTCTGGGCCCTGTGGCCTTGGCTGGGACTAATTAACCCATGCTGTGCCCAGCTCCCTGGAGTTAAGGTGAAACCATCTTAGAAAGCTCTGGAAGGTGGAGGAGGGTGGTGAGAGGTCAGCTGGAGACTGGATGTTCAGTCCCTGGGGTGGAGGAGTTGGGGAAACCTGGAAAAGAAGGTGACTTAGGGGCTTGAGATTCCCCTCCCCCCAACCTTGGTCCAGATATTCAAATCCTCATATTAATCCTTGCAGCTAAACAAAGCTCCTCTTTGATGAAATAGTTTCACACCTGTGATCTCATTTCATGCTATGGTGGAAAGAGCCTGAAACCTGAAGTGAGGCAGAGCAGGGTTGGGGAGTCACAGGGGATCTCTTGGATCCATCCATGATTGCAAGCCCCACCTGTAAAATGGGGTCAGACAGGCTATATGTTACCTGTTTGGATAATGGGGCAATCACATCTGGCAAACTGTCAAGTGCTAAGAGTGCTAAGGGGTTTTCTGTGTTTGCAAGACTGGACTTGTTATTAATGGCTACCTTGTGTGGGAAACTAAGGCTCAGAGAGGTAAAACCATTTACCCAGGGCCTTTGAGTTTGCTTCTGGAACTATGAGTGTCAGCTGCATATCAGGTATCTTGGAAGTGACTTGGATGAGCAAAGCGGCAGCCTGGATGGAACCTAAGTAACTGGTGAGCCACAGTAGTTAAGTCAGATCAGCCAGGTGGGGCATGAATCTGCTCTGCCTCCCACTAGCTGAGTGGTACTAGGCAAAACACTGAGCCCTGGCTCAGCACCTATAGCTCAACCAGCTAAGGCGCCAGCCACTTACACCTAAGGTGGCGAGTTCGAATCCCCAGCCCGGACCCACCAAAACAACAATGACGGCTGCAAAAAAGAAATAGCCGGGCATTCTGGCGGGCGCCTGTGGTCCCAGCTACTTGGGAGGCGGAGGCAGGAGACTCGCTTGAGCCCAGGAGTTGGAGGTTGTTGTGAGCTGTAATGCCAAGCACTCTACCCAGGGGGACAGCTTGAGGCTCTGTCTCAAAAAAAAAAAACAAAAACAAAACACTGAGCCCTAGCTCCTCTGTAAAATTAGAATACTTCCGTTATCAGGCTAAAATGTGAGGATTAAATGACAGACACTAATCTATAGTGCCTGGCCAAATATTCCACTTCCTTCCCTATGAAGAAAAGGAAGCTTGCATTTTGACCAGGAAGTCTGGGAAAATTCTCAAACTTGCCTTAAATTAGAATGTAAACTACTGTTGTAGGCTCAGAGACCAAGATTTGTGCAGCGCAGGCTCCACTGTGGGTCAGACAGTCCTGTGCCAACTCCCCTGGTCTCATGGCCTTCTAAGAGTCTGCTTGAGGACACTGACAAGGGGCTCTGAATTCTGACAATTCCCCCAACCCTGTTGGCTTCATGCTGGGGAGTTGTGGTCGGTGAGCTGGTGTCCATTCCCCTGGGCCATTGTCTGGTCTCCCTAGGCACAAAGGTGCAGTGAATAATTTATTGCTCCCTTCAGCTGGGAGGCAGGGAAATAGCTGTATGTTCAGCTAAGCTTCTGAGCCCTGCCAGAAGAGGGGGTGGCTCCTATTTGTGCTGTTAGTAGTCTTGGATATGATATGAGAGGTGGGGATAGAACAGGGAGAACGTGACCCATCGTTCATTGGATCCACAGAGGCAACAATGGGAACCAAGTTAGCTGAGCAGGATCAAGTTGTGGGTCTCTGTTTTTAAAGAGGTGAGGGGGAGGGGTAAGGGTGAGAAGGGGTGGGGGGCCCTTGAGGATTGGAGTAACCAGGAAGGCTTCTTCAAGTAGGTAGGTGTCTGGGCAGGACGTAGAGGCATCTTGCTGTAGAGGAGAGGTCCTGACATCCCTTCGGTAAGAATCTTGGCTGTGCCCCTAAGCCACTGTGAGACCATGGGCAAGATACTTGACCCTGCCAGGCCTCCATTTCCTCCTCTGTAAAATGAAAGTAGTGATACTCATGACCGTGAGGTCACATGTGTAAAACACATGGCATGATAGGTACTCAGCAAGGGGGTGAACAGGGGTGGGCTAGTGGGGGGGGGGGACGGTGTGGTACGCCAAGGAGCTCCAGAACTCTGGGGTAGCAAGCCTGGGTTTGTAGAGTCAGGAGTGAGGAGAAGAGATGTGAGTGACCAGGTAGGAGAGGGCCTTGCATATTGAAAGCCTCATGGAGTCCCCATTTAGAATCTTCTGTGGCTCCTTTTCACCTAGAAGAAGAAGAGCAGGCCCCTAGTCATGGTGTTCAGGTCCTCTCCCACCATAGCCTGCTGATCGTCCCTCGGGCTCATTGCTCATCACCGTGCCCTGAACACACTCTGTGTGGCCCATCCCTGCCCCTTTGCTTGTGGGGCTTCTCCCATCAGAACCACCATCCTGTGTCTTCTCCACTCCCCTCTTCATCTTTCAAGGCCCAACTCAGGTCATAAACTGAATGTTACCCAGAAACATTCCTGGATTTACCATTACTTCTGCTTATGCCCCCTCTGAATCTTTAATATGTACCAGTAATAGTACCGACTACTCATAACATTTTTACAGTTGATAAAATGTATTTATACACCCATTTACTACTACAAGGATGATGTTAACAATAGTCGATACTCTTGAGTATAATGAGCCAAACAATCTGCTAGGCGCTTTGCATTCTTAGTCACACTAACTCTCAGAGACAGCTACCATTATCCCCCAGAAACTGGGGCTCAGAGAGGTACATTATCTGGCTTAATGTCTCACAGCAGAGAGCCAAGCCTGCATTCATTTGAATTAGAATCTGTGTCCTGTCTTCTCAACTCCACCCAGGTACCTCGAAAGCATACTTTGCATACATAAAGCCTGGACAGGAGCCTTCTCAAGGCTGAGGAAGAGCAGTGCTGGACTTAATATGGCATAGGAAGGACCCCAGGGTGGGGGATCCAGGCACTGGACTCTGGATTGACTGGCTATGTGACCAGGGGTGAGTCAGCTGCTCTCTGGGGTCCTGTTTGCTTCTGTCTATGGGGAGCACGTGGGGTATGAGCTTTCTGCAGTATCCTTTATGACCCTGGGATGAGGAGGAGGTGACCACAGCACCAGGGCCAGAGGATGTGGTGTAACAGGCAGCTGTGATTTTTGGCCTGGCCACTGTCTGGGCCAGCAGGCTCTGTGGGTAGCTGCTGCCTCACCCCACGGAGGGTGGTGGCCTGGGCTGCAGGCAGCATGGTCATTAGCTGGCAGAGACGACCCAGTGATTGGGAGTTGGCTGGACCAGGCCAGGTTGGCAGGACTAGAGGCAGGCAGGCCTGACCACAGAGGGGTCACTGGTGGGGCAGCTGGTAGGGCAGCCAGCTTCTCCTCCCTTCACCCCCTTCAAGACAGTGGCAAGAACATAACAGGCCCCGAAGGATTTTTGGCCAAGTCTTGCCCTTTCTCCTGTTGTGGTGGTTGTGGGAGAGAGCAGTACGTAGTGTCTAACCAGGCCTGAAGTTGCCACCTCCTAGGAGCCTCCAAGACTCCTTCTAAGCAGGTGGCAGCCAGCCCTTCTCTAGGGCTGACCACAGCCCTCTGTTCCCTGACTGTGGGGTTGTGTAGGTCTCTTCCCTTGCCAGCTTGTGAGAACTAGATTCTATGCCCCAGGTGCCTAGGAGAGTGCCTAGCACAAAGCAACCCCCCAGTCAAGGGCGGCACGATAGTAACAGTGTTGTGAGGGGTAGATGACAAGAAAGGAGCAGGGTACCTGTCCAGTTTAGTAC